CTGTAAACTTGCAAAAGGAATGCTCTCTAGAGAATTTGAATCATAAAGAACTATTGTTCCCATTGCCCTGGTTTAACTATAAACAAAGATCATTTGCTTCTGTGTTGAAAACAAACAAAAAATACAAATCACCTTTTTAAGCTTATTCAAAAGAAAAAAGAAAATAAAGAACAGAAAAGTATATTCCTACATCAAAAATTTTTAAGTATTTAATTTTGTTTTATTACCATTTATATATAAAAGCCTAAGCTACTGCTCAATGGGCCAGTACCTATGATGTGTACTGACCATGAGGGGGAAGACACTCAACACAGGAGCAGAAACCACAGACATGGAAACATGGAACAGACTGATGAAACTCAGAGAAAAGGGGAGAAGGCAGGAAGAGAGGAACCAAAGATCTTTTATGCTTACTAGGTACATGCACCCTCTGGCAGACCGTGCCCTCTTGGGGAATGTTGGGCTGCTGGTTTCAGCCCGATCCCCACAAACCAGGCCAAGAGACACCCTGGTGCACAAATCCATGCACTAGGTCTCTAGTTTAAAATAAAGTTAGTCTTATTTAAACAAGTGTTTTCAGTTGATAATGGCCATATATTTAGTAATTTATGCTAAGTAAAGCTTTTTGAAGTTACTCTACACAGAAAAAAATTAAATTCAGTGTTTGCATATGTTATAGTGATTTGCCAAAAGAAAAGGCAGTTGAACAAAAGAGAAAAAACATATGAAAGTCAGAGTTGTAGTGACTTCCCAGCACAGTCACTACAACAGTCACTGTGCTGGGAAGCAAAAGACTCATACTAATGTAAAATCTTCTATAGAAAACAGGCATATCACTTAACTTCTGTGAATCTATTTGTCCTCAAGTACAAAATAAGTACTGGCTAGAGTGTCTATAAGGCCCCTTACAGTGTTAATATTTATTATACTCTAAATGATAAATAGAAAAGAAAAAGCAAGCTACCCATCTGTTTCTCATCAGCTAGTGACATATCTTTTTACTTTGCTTATAGTCTTAAAAATGTAGAACTGAATTAAGTTTAATTGTTTAGTGTTGTTCTCTAGTGCTAAATAACTGATTTTCAGAACTAGCAATAAATATAATGGCTGGAAAAGCTCAGTGTAATTGAGTTTTTACGTAAACTGAAAAGTGTTCATATCTACATCTATGTAGACATAAAACTTGATTAATAATGGAAGAAGATTGAAATTTTTATTCTTGGCAACATTTCAAAATCAACCATAGCCAAACAAAGAAAACTGTTCTTTTATAGAGTGGAATCATGGAGATGCTGTTATTTATTAGTGGCTGGTTTGTTGCTTAACTCTGCCTATACCCAGTGGTGTTGGTTCTGAATCTTTATGGCTATATCCTTGAAAATGTAACTGTTTACTCTTGCCTTTTTGTTGCTGTTGTTAATCTTCACTCCATTTATTCCCATTAAGTTTTTAGAGAGAGTGGAAGAGAGGGATAGAGAGGGAAAGAAACATCAATTGGTTGCCTCCTGCACACACCTGGAACATGCAACCCAGGTATATGCCCTTGACGCAAAATCAAACCTGCTACCCTCCTGTGTACAGGCTCACACTCTAACCATTTGGCAGCACCTGCCAGAGCTCTCTTGCCTTTTTTTTTTTTTTTTTTTTAATAAAGTAAGTAATCACCAGCAATGCACAAGTTAGTCTCCTTATAAACTTTTTAAAATGATTTTACTTATATAGAGAGCGAGCCAGGGTCCTTAATGACCAGGGCTCCATCAAACACCAGAAGTCAGTGCTAGGTTGCCATGGCACTGACTACCAAGGGGGCTCCGGATCAGGCCCAGAGAGAGGCCTGCAGAGAGAGGCAAGGTCTGATCCCCAGCTTCCATGGCAGCTGTTGATCAGCCATTGCCTCTCTCTTTCTCTCCTGGCTTCAGCAGCCATGCCTCTGTTTCTCTCCGGGCCTACATGGGGGCTGCTGATCAGCCCTGCCTCTTTGATCAGGCCCCGAGACAGGCCCTGAGGCACTGACTGGCATAGAAACTGACCAATCAGAACCAAATCTGGGTGAAGTGCCAGGAGCCAGTGGCTGCCTAGGAGTCAGAGCTTTTGACACTGATTAGCATAGAAACCAATGAATCAGAACCAAATCTGGGTGAAGTGTGAATTGCCAATGGCTGTCTAGGAGGCGGAGCTTTTGATGCTGACTGGCAAAGAAACCGAGCAATCAGAAGCTAATCTGGGTGAACTTTGAAGGCAGAACCTAAGGTAGGGGCTGATGAGGGGTTTTAAAGGCAACAGCTGTTTGGTATAAGGTGTAAGAAAGCAGTTCAATTTTGTCATGACTGGCTTCCTAGTATAGTGCATGTGGCTGGCTATCAGTCCAGATACAGGGATTATGTGTTTTTGTCTGCCAAGAGCATCTCCTGCTTGAAAAGGCTTCTCCACCCCCAGTTAAGCAATCCTATTCTATGTAATCTATCTATACTACTAAAAGGGTATTATGCTAATTAGACCGGTCGACTGGCCATCTTCCAGACGTCCAACTTCCTTTCAGACAAAGCCATGGTGGTGGGGGCTGAGGCAGAGGCAGTTAGGGGCAATCAGGTCAGCAGAAAAGGGCAGTTGGGGGCAAGATCAGGCCAGCAGAGGGTTGGGGCAATCAGGGCGGCAGGGGAGAGCAGTTGGGGCAACCAGGCCAGCAGGGGTGGGCACTTGGGGGCAAGATCAGGCCGGCAGGGGAGAGCAGTTAGGGATGCTCAGGCAGGCAAAAGTAGTTGCAGGCAAGATCAGGCCAGTAGGGGAGGGCAGTTGGGGCCAAGATCAGATTTGCAGGGGAGGGCAGTCAAGGGCAATCAGGCAGGCAGAGGGACAATCAGACAGGTAGGTGAGCAGTTAGAAGCCAGCAGTCCCAAATTGCAAGAGGGATGTCCCCCATGGTGTTCTCAGTTGGAGAGGGTGCAGGCTGAGCCGAGGGAAACCCCCTCCCCCCTCTCCCCATGCATAAATTTCATGCACTGGGCCCCTAGTTGAGATAATAATTTACATAAACTAAGATGTATCCTTTTTTCTTTCTTTTTTTAAATCCTCACCCAAGAATATTTTTTCACTGATCTTTTAGAGAGTGGAATAGAAAGGGAAAGACAGAAAGAAACATCTATGTGAGAGAAACACATTGGTTGGTTGCCTCCTGCATGTGCTCCAACCAGGGCCCAATCCGGGGAGGAGCATGCAACCAAGTTACGTGCCCTTGACCAAAATCGAACCTGGGACTCTTTGGTCTGCGGGCCAACGCTCTATCCATTGTGCCAAACTAGCTAGAATAGATTTATCCCTTTTTCATGTAGTAATTTTACTATATATTGATTATGTTTGTGGTTACACAGTTCTATACAGTTATCAAAATTCATCATAAAGTACACTTAAAATTAAGGAATTTATTGAATATAGATAATACTTTGATCAACCTATATTTATTCCGGCAGCTAGACTATAGTATTCCCAAAAGATTAACTTTCAGAATATAAACAGTATTCTGATCACTCTGTAAATTCAGAGACACAATCATTCTGAATCATGTCAATAACTAAGACCAGAATACTATAAGCACACAAACAACCAACCAAAGTCCTCTTTTTGCATGAATGATTATACCTATTTACCAGGGCAGCTCTCCTTCCATCTCCCAGGTGAAAAGTGTCAAGTTAAACATCACTAAATTGTTCCCACTTCCTGACACCACTCATTCCAAAACGAGTTTGCACATCAACTCTCCTTAGAATGACAGTGGCATTCTTGGACTAGTGGACTCTGACAACTTATTGTCTAACTCCACTTCTTCCTTCCTCCCTTTACACCCTCTTTCTGTGTTCTCTGTCTTCTTTGTTCCCTCTCTTTTCCTTCTTTTGGTTCTGCCATTAGGCACCCTGCCTTTTCATGCCTCCCTATTGCAATGTTTTTTTTAGCTTTTTTTCTTTTTTACTGTTTCCTGTGATTTTTTTTTTTTTAAGTTACTCACATGGATATGCTCCTAATCTATTTGCTTTCTCTAATGTGCTTAAGCAAGGGGGTGAAAATGCTTCTTACATACAACTAACTGCTCAGACTAGACCACAATATCCTGAACGATATTTGGGGGGGTCGGGGGGGAGGGACATATGCAGATCCATAAAATACTTTTTTCTTTAAAATAAAGCTTTTTAATTATGTATTGGCTACACTAACTCACTGTTTAAATTGATCACAACTATTAAAGTTTAGTGAAAGATCAGTTTTCTCTGAAACTTTTACATCATTGATAAAAGCCATAATTAAGTGACATTTAAGGCATGCTGCAAACTGTTCTGAGTCTGCTTATGAGATAAACTTATCAGTTGGATTTCATTGGCTTTCTAATCTATGTGCTAAGTGATTTCAAGTGATTTCTAATACTTCTGATCCTTCTTTTAAGGTATGATGTACATTTAAAGACTTAAATTTAAATTAAGAATCCATAAGCAACATTTTCAAAAAAGGGCTCTTTATAAAATTAACAGCAAAACTTTACTAAAGAACAGTTTTGTTATTTGCTGTCGTTTCTGTAATACGTCTAAATTGGGAATATTAATAATTACTGAAGTATTAGAGTGCGGTTTTGATAATGTCGCTATTGGTTGTTCAGTGTCTTATTGTTATATGACATCCTAAAAACAACAGATTTTTATTTTTTTTTATTTATTTTTTTCATTTTATTTTTTTATTTTTTTTATTTTTTTTTTTACTTTTTATTTTTTTTATTTTTTTTCATATTTTATTGATTTTTTTTACATATTTTATTGATTTTTTTTTACCCCTCTCCCTCCATCCCACCCATCCCCTCCCTCCCCAGAGTTTTATGAACATTGGTTGTACTTATATGCATGTATACAAGTCCTTCGTTTGATCAATTATTTCCCCCAGATCTTCCTCCCCTCCCCACTGTAATTTGACAGTCTGCCTGTAAAACAACAGATTTTTACTCACTTTTTTTTTTTTTCTAGTGAAAACTCAAATGCAACAAGGATTAATTTCTATAGCTGCTCGCACTGTTATTACACATCTGGTAAATCACTTGGGCCATTATCCAATGAGTGGTGGTCCTGCTATGTTAACAAGTCAGGTGTGTGAAAATCATGACAATCATTACAGTGAAAGTACTGAACTTTCTCCTGAACTCTTTGAGAGTCCAAATATCCAGTTCTTCGTGTTGAACAATACAACTTTAGTGTCCTGTATTCAGATCAGATCAGAAGAGAGTATACCTGGAGGAGGTTTATCTGCTGGTCTTGCATCAGCCAATTCAAATGTCAGAATCATAGTACGTGATCTTTCTGGAAAATATTCATGGGATTCTGCTATCCTATATGGACCACCTCCTGTAAGTGGCTTGTCAGAACCTACATCTCTCATACTTTCATTGTCTCACCAAGAGAAGCCAGAAGAGCCACCTACATCTACGGAATGCTTAGAAGATATAACAGTAAAAGATGGGATTTCTTGTCAGTTTAAAAGATTTAGAGAAACTGTACCAACTTGGGATACAATCAGAGACGATGAAGATGTTCTTGATGAGCTTTTGCAGTATTTAGGTGTAACCAGTCCTGAATGCTTACAGAGAACTGGAATTTCACTTAATATTCCTGCTCCACAACCTGTGTGCATTTCTGAAAAACAGGAAAACGATGTTATTAATGCTATCCTTAAGCAACATACAGAGGAAAAAGAATTTGTTGAGAAACACTTTAATGACTTAAACATGAAAGCTGTGGAGCAAGATGAACCAGCACCTCAAAAGCCTCAGTCAGCATTTTATTATTGCAGATTGCTTCTTAGTATACTGGGAATGAATTCCTGGGACAAAAGGTAAGAATAAAGCAGAAGTTTTTCTTAATTTTTTTTTATACATTAGTTTTATTATCTTTTGATCAAGCATTTTAGTCTCTATTCTCTTCCTCACTATCTGACTTAGAAATTATGGGGCATATAATTGAAAATAATCTTATTTTTCCAGCCTTCACAGAAGCTAATAGGAAAAACTTTTTTCTTATTCTTAACACTTCAGATACTAAATGTGTGGGTTTTCCACACCATGCAGTTCCAACACTGCTTGAGTCACACAGACCTGAAGACCGCCCTTCTGTGGGCCACCCATACTCTGGCTGACCAGCTACAGATCGGGTCCCTACAGCCCTGTCCTTGGATTTGATTATTAGCTCTAATGGCTCCAAAACATTTACTTATATTTACCAGTTTATTATAAAGGGTAGTTAAAGGATACATATAGCCAGATGAAGAGGTACATAAGGTAAGGTCTGGAAGGGTCCCATGTGCAGGAGCTTCTGTCTCTGTGAAGTTGAAGTGTGCTCCCCTCCCAGAACATTGAATGTGTTCTCCAACCTAGAAGCTCTGTGAACCCCATAGTTAGAGATTTTTATGGAGGCTCCGCCATATAGCCATAATGATATTAACTCAATCTCCAGCTCTAAACCCCTACTCAAAAGTAGAACTAAAAGTTCCAACTTCTTAGTTTGTTTTTTTTTAATTTATCTTTATTATTGAAAGTATTACACGTCCCATTGTCCCCCTATTGATCCCCTCCATCCCACTCCTGCCCCCTCCCCAGACCTTCACCATACTATCATCTGTGTCCATGGGTTATGCATATAAGTTCTTTGGTTAACCTCTTCCCATTTCCACACCCACACCCACCCTGAGATTCATCAGTCCGTTCCATGCTTCTATATCTCTGAATCTGTTTCAATCGTCAGTTTATTTTGTTCATTAGATTCCACATATAAGTGAAATCATGTGCTACTTGTCTTTCTCTGATTGGTTTATTTCGCTTACCAACCTTTTAAATATATTTTTTATTGATTTTTCACAAAGAGGAAGAGAGAGGGGTAGAGAGTTAGAAACATCAATGAGAGAGAATCATCCATCAGCTGCCTCTTGCACACCCCCTACTGGGGATGTGCCCGCAACCACTGTACATGCCCTTGACCGGAATCGAACCTGGGACCTTTCAGTCTGCAGGCCGACGCTCTATCCACTGAGCCAAACCGGTCCCGGCTCGCTTACCAACCTTTTAATCATGGTGACAAGGTCTCATCCTGAAGTTATCCAGGAACCCAAGAGTCACCTCTTTAGAACAAAAGCTCTCCAATTACCAAGAAATCCTAAGGGATTTGGGAACTCTGTGAAGATGTTCCTGTCACCTATATCATCAGGAATTTACAAGGGTTTAGGAGCTCTGTGTCAGGGACTGGGGGTAGAGCCCAAATATATATTTCTTCTTATGTCACAGAAGCCTTACAATTTTTTTTAGACAAATACCAATATGATCCTTTCTTGTTTCTGTCAAAGGAATTAACTGAAGATTTAACATCAAATCAAGAAAAGGATCTGGCTATAATTTTTAAAAAAAATTTTCTTATGCATGTTGTAAAAACTTGCAATCAATACACAAAGTATTCAAATAAGTTAGGAAGAAGTTAAATGGAAAGGCATTACATAAACTTAAATAAGAAGACCCAGATTGGAGTCACTTAAACTTGGAGGAAATAACTCCCAATTAACATAATGGTGAGGATTAAATTAGTTAACGTACATAAAGTACTAAATGTTTAATTTTTTAATTTCTATGAAACTGAAAGCTGTATGAAAATAGAAAAAGCATCATTTAATTTATTGCTTCTGTTCAATTTGTAGTAGGTGGTAAGCTTAGATTATCAGTAAATGAATAAATCTTAAATTCAAATGCATGTGAAGCGTTGAAATGGAGTTCTATTTGCTTACTTAGTGTTTAACTTGATTTAAGCCTTTCCATTTATTAGAAGGCAATATTCTCTGTCTTATGGGAAAGCCACATTATATCAGGAACAAATTTGTCTTATGGTATGTTCAAATATAGTTAATTGCCACTCGTATAAATGCATTCTACTCTTTTGCTATAGAATGGTCTATATATTGTCTCAAGAAAAATTAAAGGTTGGGAGTCTGCATTTTACCTCAGCAAGCATTGATTTCATGATTATAATTTGTACATATATGCCCTGGCCAGGTAGGTCAATTGGTTAGAGCACTGTTCCCATCACCATGGTTGACAGTTTGATCCCCAGTCAGGGCACATACAGGAATCAACCAATGAATGCTTAAATAAGTGGAACAACAAATCAATGACTGTCTCTGTCTCTCTCTCTGTCACTATTTCTCTTCCTCTCTCTTTCTCTCTCTCTCTCTCCCTATTTTTCCCTTTTTCTCTTTAAAAATCAATAAATATTAAAATTAAAATAAACAATTTGTACATACAGTTATCCCCCCTTATCTGCAGTGGATACGTTCCAAGACTCCCAGTAGATGCCTAAAAGGGAATAGTGCTACCTAACTACATATGTATGAAAAATATTTTTCATACACACACACACACACACACACACACACACACACACACACACGCATATATATATACATATATAGACATACCTCTGATAGTTTAAATTTTAACAGGTACAGTAGGAGATTAACAGTAACTAATAATAAAATAATAAGTTTAAATTTTAACAGGTACAGTAGGAGATTAACAGTAACTAATAATAAAATAATACTGTAAACAAAGTTATGGGAATGTGGTTTCTCTCTCTCTCTCTCTGATAATCAAAGTGACTACTAAGTGACTAACGGGTAAAGTATACAATGGTGATACGCTGGACAAAGGGATGATTCATGTCCCAGGCAAGATGGAGTGGGACAATGAGAATTCTTCATGCTACTCAAAATGGCACGCAAAATTTATGAACTTTATTTCTATAATTTAATGTTTTCAGACTTCAGTTGATAATTGAAACCAAGGTTAAGGGCAGGGGAGACTACTGCATTTTGTTCATATAGAACATATTTGGTAAAACTTATACATACATTTTTCTGTGTAAAATAATACAGTATAAAACAAGGAAGGAAGCAAATTTCGTCCATATAACACATGCTTACTTGGTAATGATTTAGATTTTGAGAATATTTTATTTCTCATGAGGAAAAAACTTTCTAACCTAATGAAACTCTTAAGAAGGAATCTATAAGTATTTTTCTTTCTTTTTTTTTCTGGATATGAATTTGGGAGGTTCACAGCATCTGCTAAGTAAAATGAAATAGATAATGATCTACTGACAGAAAATATGAGAGTCTGGGTAGAAATAATGACATGTTCCTTTTTTAAACAATTTTTTTTCATTGATTTCAAGAGAGGAAGGAAGAGGGAGAGAGAGGGAGAGGGAGAGAATGATAAGAGAGATAAGAGAGAATCACTCATTGATCAACTGCCTCCTGCGTGTCCGCTATGGGGGATCAAGCCCACAACTGGGGCATGTGCCCTTGACCAGAATCAAACCCAGGACCCTTCAGTCTGCATGCCCTATTCAAGCCAAACCAGCTTAGGCCTTACTTTTTTTTAAGGTCTGTTTTCTTTTGTGTTAGAAGAATGATAAGGTAAGTCAAGTATCTAGAATTGCATGAGTAGAATAGAAAGTATTTCTGGGACTGCCATGTCACTCATTGCAAAGGTGATGAAAATGTTTATAAATTTATCTGTTTAGGAGGAGCTTTCATCTCCTAAAGAAAAATGAAAAACTACTTAGAGAACTTAGGAACTTGGATTCAAGACAGTGGTAAGTTGTTGGAAAATCTCAAATTTATAACTGTTAACTGTCAGCTATTTCTCTGTATGAATAGTACTATATTTACTGAGTTACAACTTTCTGAGCAGAAACTGTATTTTATTATACTTTAGAAATAAACTTTTGAAAGAAAATTTTAAAATGTTAGGTATCTTTGAATTATTTATACCTGTTTTATGCATTTCAGAATCAACTTTTGAATTGCAGAATTGAACCTATAAATTTTCTTTTTGTTTTCCCATTCTTAAGTGGCCCAAAAGACTTTCTGAATAGTCTTAAGAGGCCCCAATTGAAATGACTGGTGAATACAAGCTAGTACCTAATAAAAATACTAATGGAATAAAGAAGATGGATATGGTTGGGTTTATTGCCATAAATCTGATTTCTCTTTAAGCACTCGGATATGCCTTATCCCCCCTTCCCACTCCAGGCCTTCAGCACCCTATTGTCTGTGTCCATGGGCCATGCATATATGCATACAAGGTCTTTGGTTGATTACCTCCCACCCACCCTCCCCCCACCTTCCCTCTGAAATTCCACACTCTGTTCCACGCTTCCATGTCTCTGGACCCACTCCGTTAAATATTGTTCCTTCTTGGTTTCTGTATAACTAAAATGATCTGGTTCAACTCCTAATTCTCTATTTTCTGTTTGTCTTCACTGGCTCATCTTCTACCCTCTCTCATATCTTCTCACCCCCATTCTTTTTTGCCCAATATATACCTATCTCTCAAGTCTCAATCATGATTTTGTAGCTGTCTACTATAAATTTTTATCTGCCTGTTTTTACATTTCTTTCCCAAATCAAATTCTTCTGCTAATTTTCCCAGTTATATTTAGAAGTACCCAAACTTCACCATTCTCTTTCCTTTACCCTTCGATTTTCATAATTGTTATGACAGTTCTTTCTTATTACCTCTCATCTCTGTCCTCTTTTCCTGATACCAACCCCTTTGTTCATGTTCTTATTCATTCTTTCTAAGAGACTTATAACAGCTCTCTAAGGAGTCTGTAGTCTCTTCTCAGGGCTCTTCTCCATCTAGACAGTCCTGAGTACCAGAATAATCTTGGTAAAGTAAAAAAAATTTTTTTTTATTCCTTAGTGACTTCCCAGTGCCTAACCAGACTCTTTAATCTAGAACAGCAATTTTCAACACTTTTCATCTCATGGTACACATAATCTAATTACCAAAATTCTGCAGTACACCAAAAAAATAAGTGTTTTGCCTATCTGACCAAAACATAGGTATAATATTGATTCATTCACATAAGATGGCTACTGATGTGTTGGCCATTGTCATTTTTTTTTATTTGACAATCTAAGGGAAAAGAGGTCAATGTCCTAACAAAATAAATAGTCAGGTATTGTATGTTTTAAAAATTCTTCAGGCACACCAGCTGAAAATTGCTGATTTAGAGCTCAGACCTTAGCAGCCAATGTTGCCTATTCATGTTTTGGGTTTGTTTGTTTTTGCATTACCTTATGCTTTTCTACTACTTGGTTTCTGCTAAAGTAGTTTCATTCTCATGTTTACTTTGAATAGGACATCTTCCTTGAGACAACATAATTTTTTTCAATATTCCATATTAAATGAACCCATGACATTTTTTGTTTGCTTTATATATTCATTTATTATTGATTTCAGAGAGAAATCTGCTTGTTGTCCCACTTGTTTATGCATACATTGGTTGCTTCCTGTATGTGCCCTGATCAGAGATGAACCTGCAACCTTGGCTTATCGGGATGACATTCTAATCAACTAAGCTACCCAGCCAGGGCCTTTTTGTTTGCTTTAAAAAAAAAAAAACAACAAAGAAAATAACAGTTTTCTTTCTTTGTACTCTTATCTACTTAGATCATTTATAGATCTTTTATTTTCTTTGAGTAAATGAACCAATTCCTGTTTTTCATGATTTAACCACAATATTTTTACACTTCAAATCTTAAAATAATTTCTATTAGTATTTTTATTGAAGCATGTAAAATATACATGGATTCAGATGTGCTTATAACTAAGCAGATTTCACATTGAATTTTTTCATAGTATGCTCATAATATTTGCCAGTACTACACATATTTTTAGAGAGTGTTTGTGGTTACAAATTAACTAATTTCATTTTTTCCTAATATATTTTTCTCATTATTCATTTTTGTGATGCACATTAATCTGATAGTAATATACCAATATTTTAACAGCAGTAGTTAGTAAGTAGAGAAATAAGGAATGATAAAAGATTAAGATTTGACATAAAAGGGCAGCTAAATTGTAAGAAGGACATGGATAATATAAAGGTGATTTCTCTTTTACTTTTGCATTTTAAAGACTTTTTTCTCTTTATGGCACATACATTTATCTCAACTTTTAGATTTATATAATATTAGGTGAACATTTCAGTCTAGCTCTTCCAAATTTAATAAATTTATGAGTTCTAATTGATAGCTCTGTACTTTGAAAATTTAGAACACTGAAAGTTCCCTTTCTGCCAGGATCAGCATTTACACACAGATCATGTATCCAAGGTAAATTCTTAACAGCTTCATTGAAATACTAGAGGCCCGATGCATGAAATTCGTGCATGTGGGGGGGAGGGGTTGTCCCTCAGCCCAGCCTGCACACTCTCCAATCTGGGACTCCTCGAGGGATGTCCAACTCGCAATCCAGGACTGCTGGCTCCCAACTGCTCACCTGCCTACCTTCCTGATTGCCCCTAACCACTTCTACCTGCCAGCCTGATCACTCCCTAACCACTCCCCTGCCAGCCTGATGGCTCCTAACTGCCCTCCCTTGCAGGCCTAGTCACTCCTAACTGCTCTCCCCTGCAGACCTGGATTCCCCCCCCCCCCCCCCAGACTGCCCTTCCCGCAGGAAAGGGAAAGTCTATTCTTTGTGGAGTTTTCACATTCTCCCCATGTCTGAGTGGGGTTTTTTTCCTAGGTACTCCATTTTCCTCCCACATTCCAAAGATGTGCACATTAGATTAATTGGCACAGCTAAATTTTCCCAGTATGAGTGAGTGTGGGTGGGGGTCTGAGTGCTCCCTATGATGGAATGGCATTTTGTCCTGTCTTGCACCCTGAGCTACTTGAGTAAACTCCAGCCTCCTGCAACTCTGATCTGGAATAAGCAGGTTGAAAAATATCTTTTTTATCAGTTTTTCTTAAGTGTGTGTATAGCTTGTTTACTTAATGTTTATTAGAAGTCTTTATTTAGGAGTTTGGTAGAAATTTTAGCAGGAGCTTAACTTTTTTTTATGTTTTTATTGATTTTTAGAGATGAAGGGAGAGATCATAGGTGTCTAGTGTATAGAAATATAATTGATTTTTCTATATACATATTGTATCCTGAATACTTGCTGAACTCATTTATTGAAAGCTCTTATAGCTTTTTGGTGTATTCCTTAGGATTTTCTGTGTACAAAATCATCTTATCTGCAAGTAGAGGTAATTTTACCTCTTCTTTTTCAATCATATTACTAATTCAATCTCTACTTGTTATTGATCTATTTAGGCATTCTATTTCTTTTATGTTGTTTTTTTTGTGTCTATCTAGGAATTTGTCCATTTAATTTGATTTATCTAATTTGTTGGCATACAGTTGTTGGTAGTATTCACATATATAAAAGGCTAATATGCTAAGTGTCCCTCCCACTGGTCACTGTGACATATACTGACCAACAGAGGGCAGATGCTCAATGCAGGAGCTTCTGAGCTGCAGTGACTTGACAGCAGCAGTTCCTTGAAACCAGAGAGGAGGGAGCCAATTCCTCATGGGGCCATGCGATTCCACCTTCAGCTGTGGGTTATGTTGTTGCTGGAGCACAGTCGCTCTGTAACTGGTTTACTGCACACTTACATTTGTGTTCCACATCCTGTGTGACAGGAACTTTGCAGAGTGCCCTCTTGCACTCTGGGACCCCTTGGGGGATGTTAGAGAGCCAGTTTTGGCCAATACCCACAGGCCAGGCCTCCTGCCAGAGGGACCCTGCTCACTCCACAGTCACCAGGGAGGGACCAAGAGATGTTGGCTCCGGGGCATGTCCGGCCTGTCTCGCCCAGTCCCGCCCCACAGGCCACCTTCTATATAATAAATTTTCTCAATTACATGCACCAGGTCACTAGTTCCCTTATAATTCTGTAAGGTATTTATTTCTGTAAGCTATGTAGTGATGTCTCTTCTTTTGTTCCTGATTTTTAGTAATTTGAGTTTCTCTTTTTTTTCCTTACTTATTTACTATAAATTTTTATTTATTTATTTATTTATTTATTTATTTATTTATTTATTTTTATCACATCAACCAAGTTTTGGCTTCCTTGATTTTTCTCTATTATTTTTCTGTTCTGTTTCATTTATTTTCATGCTAGCCTTTATTATTTTCTTCTTTTTGTATGCTTTGAGTTTAGTTGGTTATCTTTTTCTAGTTTTTTAAGGTGGAAGATTTAGTTATTGATGTGAGATATTTTTTAATATAGGCATTTACATCTGTAAGTTTCCCAATGAGCTCTCTTTACCTGCATGCTATCAGTTTTGGTATATTATTTTATTTTCATTCATCTCTTAATATTTTCTAATTCCCATTGAGATTTATTTTTTGACCCATTAGTACTTTGTTTCATTTCCACATATATGTGAATTTCCCAAATTTTTTTCTTTTACTGATATCTAATTTTATTCCATTGTGATTAGAAAATATATTTTGCATAATTTCAGGTCTTTCAAATTTATTGAGGCTTGCTTTTTGGTTTACTATGTAGTCTATCTTGAAAGATATTCCATATATGTTTGAGAAGAATGTGTTTTCTGTTACTGTTGGATAGTGTTCTGTAGTTGTCTGTTAGGTCTAGTTGGTTTAGGCTGTTACTTAAATCTTCTAACTCCTTGTTGATATTCTCTTAGGTTTTTCTGCACATTATTGAAAGTGGGGTATTGATGTCTCCTGCAATGTAGAGATGAAATGTAGAAATGTCTTCTTCTGCCTTCAATTCTGACTTTCATTTGTACTTTGAAAGTGCATATGTTTTTAATTTTCCTATCTTCCTGTTAGTTAACCTTTTAACAGTATGAAATGTATCTTTATCTCTAATAATGTTTTTATTTTCAAGTCTGATACTAATGTAGCCACTTCAGCTCTCTTTGCTGATGTCTTTTTTCTTTTCTTTTGCTTTCAACTTTATCTGTGTCTTTGAATCAAAAGTGTGTTGGTGGGCCCTGTCTGGTTGGCTCAATGGATAGAGTATCAGCCTGTGGACTGAAGGGTCCTGAGTTTGATTCTGGTCAAGGGCACATACTACTAGCACATACCTACCTGTAAGAGGCAGCCGATCAGTGATTCTCTCTCATCACTGATATTTCTAACATATATATATATATATATATATATATATATATATATATATATATATATATATATATATATATATATATATATAAAAGTTTGATAGTGGTGGTGTTTTGCTTGATTATTAGTTTATTTTCTACTGAGTTGGCTGAACTAATGTTGCAAATTCTATTCCCCAGGCTCAGGGTGTGTTCCTCTTATCTCCATGCTCATTTTGTGTGTTTTTTGTTTTGTTTTGTTTTGTTTGAAAATTTTTTCTTTTAGCCTTGCTACCAAGGGTTCTCCCTGGGTTGAACTAATCTACTTATTAATAAAAGTTTGTGCTTTATTTCCTTTAACCAGTTAGATTTTTATTGTTTATTGTGGATGTGGCTTGGAGGCAGCTGTTATGTTCAGAGTGTTTTTTTGCTGCATGTTCACCCAGAGACTAGTAGCTTGGAGGTTCGCTCTCTGATTGCTCCAAAGAGGAAATAGCCTTGGGCTTGCACAGTCTTCCAGGCTGCCAAGGATGACAGTTTTATAATATTTGTGTACACGTTTCTTCTGTATAAGTACTTTTGAAGAAATGAATCATTTCTCACTCATTTCTATTCTCCTATATTATGTCTAAACCACAATTCCTTAAACTCTGGGATTCAGCCACATTGTACAACAGGCAACTCTTAAGATGTGCACTGCCACCTATGTGTCTTTCCTGATATATTCCTCTTCTTCATTTGTCAAATCTTACTTTCACTCAACTCATATTACCTTATTCAAGTTTCTCCAGTCAGAAATAATCATACCTTTCTTCTGTTCCAATGGCAGTTTTGTAATTTTTATAATTTTTTCACTTATAATTACTTATCTCCCTCTTCAGGTTATAAGATTTAATGCATGTTCATCTTTTTATTGCCACATACTTTGTACACAGAACATAATTATTGGATAATGAACCAATAAGTTAATGTTTAAATGAATGGTATAATCTTTTGTTTTATAGCCGAGAGACACACAAGATTGCTGTATTTTATGTTGCTGAAGGACAAGAAGATAAACATTCCATTCTCACTAATACAGGAGGGAGTCAAGCATATGAAGATTTTGTAGCTGGTCTTGGTTGGGAGGTACTGTTGTTAAATTATACCAAATAATTTATTTTTATTTGGAAGCAGTAAATTCTTATTTTATAGAAGAAGCATTAGGAGACTCAGTAACTATACAGTGGGTTTGTTATTGTTCCTATCCTATTTTTCATCTGCAAGGACAGCAGCAGTTGGGACTTTGAACAGAAATTGTTGACTACTTTATAAGATAATATATTGTCAGAGAGTATGAAACACATAGGTTTAGCGATCTGGATTTTTTTTCACAACTATAAATAGTAGACTATTAGTCTTCAAACTAAGATATAAATATCCTTGGAACTATACCAGGCTTTCTAGGGGACACATCAACATGTTTAGTTTTAAGGAGATTAGTTTTCAGATAGATTCTCAACTTTACTAAAGTTAATGCCTGAGAACCCTTTTGTAGTCTCTTTCCTCTCCTTTTCTATTCTTTGTTTTTGTAAAATAAAGGCTTACCACTCACCCACCCAAGTCTTGCATTATCCCAGAAGGTTTAGAACCAAAAAAAGACAGTTCATTCAAGAGGTCATGTTCCTAAAAGTGTCTCTAAAAGCAAAGCAAGAAATATGGAAAGGTATTGCACTTTAGGTCATCCTGGCAACCAACTCACATCAAGTTTTCTATGTCAAATCTATCTTAGAATTGTAAATCAGCAGTGAGATATGTACCACTAAAATTTATATTAATACTAGAAGCCCGATGCATGAAGATTCATGCTAGAATGGGCTTTCCTTTTCCTTGCTGCCAGCACCGACTTTCCACTCCAGTCCAGCCACTTTCCACTTCCCACTTTCCATTCATACCCTGGAGCCGCCACTTTCCGCTCTGGCCCCACCTTCTCACGCTGCTCAGAGTCCCTGAGAATGCCTGCATTCCGGACCCATGTAGGCCTGTGTTTTTAAATTTAACCGTCATCTTTATTGGGTTAATTTGCATATTGCTCCTTATTGGCTGGTGGCGTAACAGAGGTATGGTCAATTTACATGTTTGTCTAGTATTAGTAAGATGTTTATTTTAATTGAAAAATTGTCAGGTATGTTCTGACATGAAAGTGAATTTGATGTGGCTGATTGATATGTTATTAAGTTAGTAGCAGACATTTTATATATATTCAGCAAAATCTACAGCTCTAAGATTTTAATGAAAATATGCTGAAAGCACATATAGTAACATACAGTATACTAGAAATCATCTCTTTGCATCATTAAACTTATGAAAAGTTTTATGGTAGTTGTCAATTTAATATATAGTTTCTCAAAATTCTTGTAGAGAATTCATAAGCAAAATTGTTGAAGGCTAGTGCATTAGACTGTAAGCTACTGGAAGGCAGATACTTTTGCCCTATTTTCTTTTCTTTTTAAATTCCAGTTCTTGCACAGTGTCCACTACTTAAGCCTTTATCATTTAGTTTATATTTTATGGCTGATCTAACCTGCTATTTCACCCTAAGTAAGTTATTTGAGCTCTCTGGGTTTGTTTGCTTATTTGTCAAAGGTAATATATTTTTTTTACCCAACAGATGTGATGTGAAGCCCAGCTGATATTATATATGTGGAAAGTAGAAAGAAACACTGTAAATGGATTTTCTGTTTAAAAAATACAAAGCAGAAAAGTATTGGTAGTAAGTGTTAGTAAAAGCAAGGGACATATGAAAAAGAACAAATTAGTACACAGCAATGCTAATCCAACAGTTTAGTACTTGCATCAAAGATAGACATATCTATCAATGAAACAATTTAAATTCCAGAAATAAACCCACACATCTATGGTCAACTGATTTTCAACAAGAGTGCCAAGACTATTGAGTGGAGAAAGAATACTCTTTAACAAATAATGCTGGAATAACTGGAGAGCCACATGCAAAAAAATGAAGTTGGATTCTTACCTCTCACACTGTATATAAAAATTAACCCAAATGGATCAAAGACCTGAATGTAAGAGCTAAAACTATAACTCTTAGAAGACTGGTTTCGTTGTTAAATCTAAGTGGTAGATATAGGAGTGTTCTTTCAACCTTGCTGTATGTTTGAAAAATCTAACAATAAAAAAGAGAAAGAAAAAAAAACTCTTAGGCCTGGCCAGTGTGCTCACTGGTTGAACTTCAACCTATGAACCAAAAGGTCACATGCCCGTATTCTGAGCTCAATCCCCAGTAGGAGGCATTTGATCATTGATTCTTTCTCATCATTAATGTTTCTCTCTCTCTCTCCCCCTTTCTCTCTGAAATCAATAAAAAAAAAAAAAAAATATATATATATATATATATATATATATATATATATATATATATTTTTAAAAAACTCTTACAAGACAAAAATGGCTAAATCTTCCTGGCCTTGGATTTGTCAAGGGATTCTTCTCTTTTTTCAGCTATATTGAAGTATAATTTATAAATAACAGGAATTTTTACATATGACACTAAAAACATAAGCAGCAAAGGAAAAACAATAAATTGGACTTCATTAAAATTTAAACTTTTGTGCTTCAAAGAGCATTATCAATGAAGTGAAAAGACAACCCACAGAATTGGCAAATATAATTGCAAATCACTTCTAAAGTTTATAAATAACTTACTGGTACATAAATTAATAATTAGTAGACAACCCAATTTAAAAAGTGGCCAAAGTACCTGAAATAGACATTTTTCCTAAGAAGATAAACAACCAGTAAGTATATGAAAAAAATGCCTGTTATTATTACCTATCAGAGAATGCAAATCAAAATCACAGTGAGATGCCATTCACTAGGATAACTAGAATCAAATAGACAGCAGTAATAATAATTGTAGGCTAGGATTTGGAGCAATCTGAACCCTAAACAAAGTATGGCCTATCCATATGACAATATTATTCAGCCATGAAAAGGAATGAAATACTGACATCTGAAAATATTCAGGCTTCAATCAGAAATTGTACAAAAAACCAGGAAAGTCTCAAACTGAATGAAAAGACAGTTGATGCCAACGCCAAGAGGACAAAGATTTTGTTTGTTTGTTCTTTTGTTTAGTTAATCCTCACCAAGGATATTTTTCCCATTGCTTTTCATAGGGTGAAAGTAAGGGAGGGAGGGAGGAAGAGAGACAGACGGATATTGACTGATTGCCTCCCATACATGCTCTAATCAGGGACAGAGAATGACCCCGTCACCCAGGTGTACATGTCCTTGATCAGGAATCAAACCAGCAACCCAATGCTCTAACCAGTGATCACGCCATTCAGGGTAAGATGACAAGAGATTTTAAAATGGCATAATGAAAATGCTTCCACAAGCAATTGGGAACACAGTTGAAACAAATGAAAAATATAAAGTCTTAGCAAAGAAAGAAGATACAAAGAACTAAATGGAAATTTAGAACTGAAAATACAATAACAAAATTTAACGCCTACCGTATTTTCTGGCGTATAAGACGACTTTTGAAACGAAAAAAGTCAACCGAAAATCCGGGGGTCGTCTTATATGCCAAGTATATCCCGAAAATAGGCAAATATAGGCCTAAACCTATGTTTTAACTGTAAAATTAAGGGGTCGCCTTATACACCCTGTCGTCTTTTTCAGTTGATTTTTTTTCGTTTCAAAAGTTGTCTTATACACGGAAAATATGGTAATAGATGGGCCCAGCAGCAACCAGGTAGAGATTGGTGTGCAGAACAAAGAATAAGTAAACTGGAAGAAAGAATTGTGAAAAAACTAATCTGAAAGCAGAAAAAGAATAAAAAGCAGAAAGAGGTTCGGTCTGAAAATCAATTGAAGAAATAATATCAAGAACTTCCCAAATTTGGCAAGAGAAAGATAGGAAAACTGCAGATCAAAGAAGCTGGGTGAAACCCAAACAGGAAATCAAAAGGAATCTCTACTAAGATACATCATAATTAAACTTGAGAATGCTAGAGACAAAAAAAATCTGAATGGTATACAGAGAAAAGTCAGACCTTATTTATAATGGGAAAACAATTAGAATGATAGTGAAATTTTTATCAGAAACTATGGGGACTAGAGGAAATGACAATGATTTTCAAGTAGTGGTGGTGGGGGGTGGAGACTGTCAACCCAGAATTTTATAGCTAGCAAAGGAATGAAGTAAACAATTCTCAAATTAAGGACAACTTAAAGAATTTGTTGCCAGCAGACCTACCCTAAAAGAATCACTACAAGGTTCTCTTAACAGAAAGGAAATTATAAAAGGAATCTTGGAACATCAGGAAGAAAGAGCATGGCAAAAAAAATGCGGGTAAATGTACCACCCATGTTTGATGGCTGTTACAAAAATTATTTCACTGTCTTGTGTCTTTCTAAATGTAGTGCCATGAGCCGAGACCGGTTTGGCTCAATGGATAGAGCGTCGGCTTGGGGACTGAAGGGTCCCGGGTTCGATTCAGGTCAAGGGCATGTACCTTGGTTGCGGGCATATCCCAGTAGGGGGTGTGCAAGAGGCAGCTGATCGATGACTCTCTCTCATCGATGTTTCTAACTCTCTATCTCTCTCCCTTCCTCTCTGTACAAAATCAATAAAATATATTTTATAAAAAATAAAATAAAAAATAAAATAAAAATAAATGTAGTGCCATGAAAATATTCATGACAATTATATTACAACTAAAGGCCCAGTGCATGAAATTCATGCATAGGGAGGGGGTCCCTCAGCCAGCTTGCACCCCCTCGCAATCCGGGACTGCTGGCTCTTAACCACTCTGCCTGCCTGCCTGATCACCCCTAATCACTTGCCTGCCTGATTGCCCCTAACTGCTTGCCTGCCTGCCTGATCGCCCCTAGCCACCTCTGCCTCAGCCCCCACCACCGTGGCTTAGTCCAGAAGGACATCCAAAATGATTTTTGGAAGATTGTTCAGCTGTCCGGTCTAATTAGCACATTACACTTTTATTATTATAGAACGGAAAGTGAAGGGCCATAAAGTGATATAGGGTTTCTATATTTCACTCAGACTGGTGAATGACAACATCATTGGTATTATCTATCTACTAGAAGCCTGGTGTACAGATTCATGCATCAGTGGGGTCCCTTGGCCTGGCCTGGCCTGTGCCCTCTCCCAATCTGGGACCCTTCAGGGATGTCAGAGAGCTGGTTTGGGCTCGATTCCCACAGAGCAGGCCAAGGGACCCCACTGATGTACAAATCTGTGCACCAGGCCTCTAGTCCGATATAATAAAACCCTAATATGTAAATAGACCTAATGGCAGAACAACCAGTCCTATGAAGCACACTGACCACCAGGAGGCAGATGCTCAATGCAGGATTGATGAATCTTAGAGAGAAGGAAGGAGGGGGAGGGCAGGAAGAGATTAACCAAAGATCCTATATGCATACCAGAGGCCTGGTGCATGAAATTCATGCACGGGGTTGAGGGGTGTAATCTGGTCACTCCACCAAGAAAACATAACAGTCCTATATGTGCAAGCTGCAAAATATATGAAGCAAAACTGATAGAACTAAAAGAAGAAATAAACAAATCCACAATTATAGATGGGAACTTCACCACTCTCTCAACAACTAAGAGAAGAACCTGACAGAAAATCAACAAGTATGTGGAAGAACTCAACATCATCATCAGGAGGGATTAATTGCATTTATATAGCACTCTGCCTGACAACAACAGAATATATATTCTTTTCAAGTTTTCAAAATAGACCATATGTTGGACCATAAGACAAACTTCAAATTTAAAAGCATTGAAATCATACAATGGGATCAAACTGGAAATCATTAACTGAAAAATCTCCAAACACTTGGGAGGGTTGCATATTCTGTAATTTCAGTTATATAACATTCTTAAAATGACAATTTTAGTATTGAAGAACAGATTAGTTATTGCCAGAGGTTAAGCAGTGGGGTGGGAGTGAATCATGTAACAGGGCAACATGAAGGATCCTCTCATGATGAAAATATTCGGTCTTTGAACATTATCAGTGTCAGTATCCTGGTTGTAATATAGTTTTTCACTGGAGGAATCAGGGTAAAAGGTACATGGGGTTTCTTTTTATTATTTTTTAAAACTTCATGTGAATTTTCAGTGATTTCCAGATAAAACGGTTATTTAAAAAGAATAGAGATCAGTAAAGTTATTGAAGTGTTTATAGCAAGGGAACATTAAACAGATTTTCTCCTTTACATAGTCAGATAATTGACTTGAAAATAACTTTACTAAAAAAAAAAAACCACTACACTAAGATACTCTTCACCTATCAAATTAGCAAAGATCGTAAAGTTTGATAATTGGAGATGATGTGAGGGAAACAGGTACTTTCATTCACTATCGGTGCCATGTATGAAAAGCAATTTGGCTAGTGGGTTTCAAAATTAAAAGTGCACATGCTCTTTGACTTATAGTTCCATTTTGGAGTATTTCTTCTACAGATCTACTTGTACAAATGCAACATGACGTGTTCAGTGTTACTGATTGCACCATTGTCTGTAATGGCAAAAGATTGGAAACAACTTAAATATCCTTCAAGTAGGGGACTAGTGAAATAATTGTTCATCAAGAAAATGAACTGTGAAACCATGAAAACAAACATGAGGAAGCTCTTTACTTACTAATGAGTATTTTTCAATATATTTTAAGTGCAAAGAAAGCAAAGTGCAGAACATTGTATATAAGTGCTATGTGTATGTATATACACACATACATAAAAGAATTTAATTGTATATACAGAGAACATTTTGGGGAGGATACTAAATACTAAAGAAATTTTTGGGAGAGCTGAGTAGCTACAGACGAGATATGGAAGGTATATCTTTTGAATTGTTAATTATGTGAATGTGTTACTGAATCAACCTCATATAGTAATGGTATAAAAATTAGTCATATGTTTACCTATTAGTAGCTGATATTGATGATTAAAGGACATGTCTCTTCACATAGTACAGAGATTTTATTTTTACAATTCTCTATCAGATAATCCAGATTTATTATTTTAAAACATATGTGTAAGTGGTTCTCTGAATGGAGAAATTTAAACATTGTTTAAAAAATTTCCTCCATCATCTCTTTAATTTTCTATAATGAACTTAAGTTGCTGATTTCCATGCATCACACAGATCCAGGGAATATAATTCAATGCAATTGCACTGATATTAGCTTTTTTTGTATTTAGAATCAGAAAAAAATTTATTTAAAAATCTTTGCACAGATTCCTAGTTTGATGCATTTGAAGTATGCTTAAGTTCTGCATTTTGATATTCTTATTTGGGGCTAATGATACATACTATTAATTAGGAAGACAGTTTTGAGGAGTAAATACAATACAGCTAATTAATAATTTTATCAAAGTGGCATTACTGTTTTAACTTTTCCCAAAATCATTTCCAGTCTTTATTTTTGCTACTTGATTTTTACTCTCTGGCCTTGGTGTCCCCCACAGCCTTTACACTTTACCATTAACACCTAGTAGCCTAACTAGATATGCATAGTACACAGCAGTTCATCTCTTTTCTAATTAACTCCTATTAATTAGGGATCTTCAAATACTTAAGAAAAAATACTGAAGTGAACAGAGCAGCTCTCACTTGTAATTCTGGGTCAAGCATTAGTTGATCTCCTTCCCCTTGTTTTTACAAAGTGAAAAGTTTGCTCTTTTTTGACTGAGTTTTTTAAAATTTTTGTTTAGTTGATTAATATTGTGTCTCTTCATTGCTTCTAGGTAAATCTTACAAACCATTGTGGTTTCATGGGAGGACTACAGAAAAATAAAAGCACTGGTTTGACCACACCATATTTTGCTACCTCTACAATGGAAGTAATTTTTCATGTATCAACAAGAATGCCTTCTGAGTCTGATGACTCTTTGACCAAAAAAGTAAGTGTTAAAATCCTGGTATTTATAAAAATTAATATATAAAATATATAAGTAATCTAAATGATCAAACACTAATTCTGAGTACTCACCCAATACTGTCTTCAGAAACAGTATTGTTATAGAACAAACTCTGTTTTTTTTAATGATATGATTGATAGTCTGAACTAAAGATTTACCTTCAAGAAAATGGAGATCTTACAAATTGAAAAACTTGTGTATACAAAGTTGTGAAATTATATTTAAAATTCCTTTGTACGGATAGACATATTTTTATTGATTGTGGGAGAGGGGGAAATAAATTATTACAAAAGCACTTAAAATATAACATCCTTTATTACAACTTTTAATTAAAACTAATATAGCAGATAAAATAAGCCTTAATTAATTTAAATAAGTTTCACAAGAGATACTGGAGTAGTTTCAATGGCCCACACCTTCTAAAACCTATGACACCATTTTACTGTAGCTGGCACCATTATTCAAAAATCATTTTAATGACCACAGGGATACCTCAGATACAGTTGTGTGTATTTGGTTTTGTTAGAAGAAATACTTTTAAATTAAAATCTTGTCCAACATTTATTCTCTTTGCCTTCTTCGCTTCGTCCATGTTTTCTTCCTCCTCAATTTACTCAAAACTACTGCTGCATGTAACCAGCTTAATATCATAGGTCATTTTTACTTGATATTTTGTTGCTTGATATCAAAGCTCTGTACACTTCATTAATAAGCTATGAAAACAGTGCTCTTATCACACTATTGAAAAGGAACTTTAGAACTCTTCTCAAATATTGATAAGATTGACTTAATATCCTTGATGCTTTTTTTTTTTAATATCTTTTAGAATGTTGTTGGAAAATGCTTACTAAATGAATAATGGTTAGTAAAAGTAATATAAGAATGCTAATTAGATTGAAAGTATTAATAAAGGTGGAGATAATTGATAACTGTAGGAAAGCATGTTCAATAGAGGTTTGCTATAGAATTTCTTGGCATGTAGTTTTTAGAAGTACAAAATGAGCCATGATGGACACAAACAATAGTGTGGTAGGCTTGGGAGGTGGTATGCAGGGAGTGGGGGTCTGTTAGGTAGAGGGACATCTGTAATACTTTCAACAATAAAAATAAATTTAAAAATAATTATAAATAAATACTATAGTTAAAAAAAATTTTTTAATTAAAACACAAAAAATGAGCCAGTGACAGGAAGAAATGTCATTAAAAGTTTAAGCACTTTGTTCCATCAACTCATTTTAAATCTTTGAAAATAAGCCATGCTCAAATTAGAGACAAATATGAGTATAATACAAAAAGATAAATAATTTTAATCATTAAGAGTTTGGCAGTGACTCATGTTTATCATTATCATTTTTTAGCTCCATGGATACAACTTTTAAACCCCAGAGCAGTCTAAAATTAATAGTACCTTAAATTGCACACATAAGAGCATAATAAAGTATATCATTTTTTTGTTAAAATACTTTTTTAAAATTATGTTAGGATAGTTTTACTTCACTATATTAAACCTGATCATTATATGATACTTAAACTTTCGTACCTGTGACCTTTGTAGAAATGTCAAATAAGATTAATTATTTCATTCAAAACATTCACAATGGTTTGTCCTGATTATATAAAGAAGAATCTGAAATGGATGTTTAACAATCAGGTATCACAACAAAATTAATTTTGGAAATGATAACACCATTTAAGAATTTCTAAATAGTTGAGTTCTATTTGAAATTATACTTTTAAATGGCGAAAAATTTAAGTATTGTAATTTTGAGGGCTTAAACCTTGAACATTAAGAATTTCGTATAAGTATAAAAAGAGGTTTTTTTATATAAAATATATGTGCAACATGAAATTTGCCCTATTAACTACTTTAAATGTACAGTTCATTGGCATAAAATTCATTTACTGTTATACACCCATCACTAGTATCCTTTTTCAGAACTTTTTAATTTTAATTTAGTTCGAAATATTTTTTATTTTCTCCTGAGAATCTTTGACCCACATGTTATTTAGAAGTATGTTGTTTATTCTCCAAGTATTTTGAAATTTCAAATGTCACTGCTTTCACATATATAGTACCTACCATATAAAAGTAAAGCCTGTCAACTTAACATTTATTACTCTATATACTGAGTTTTTCATTTTCCTGTTCTTTATTACTCTTGTCCTTAATCTGCTCTTCAGAGTGCTAGTATGTAAGATTTTTCTAAGTAACAGGCTTATATTTTAGCTCTATTATAGTATCAATTTCTTTTTAATAAAAGGTTAAATGTTTAAATTTAATCATAGAAACCAGTTGTCTTATACCAGTTCCCCTTAATAAAAAATCACTTTCTGTATTGGCATTTTTTCTCCTGAATTTAATAAATTCCACATTAGAGGTAATAAGTTGAGGCCTAGAACATGTGTCCTATTACAAATGAACAATTGGATATCATTAGGTTGTCCCCCTTTCCTTTGTACATATATCTTTAGTGTGTTAATCCATTCAGTAGACACATTAATGAGCACTGGTTGAAGTGTAATATTGGAGGATGTAAGGCTTGTTGACCTCAGCATGGAGTTTAATACCTCTAATTAAATTAGATAGTCGACAGTCAGTATAAAGAAATAGCCATGCCTCTGGCAAGCTAGAATTATTTATGACTCTAGTTCTTTGTTTTAAACTTGAAAGGAGAAAATCATTTATATCTAGTTTACAGAAAGTAATTTGAGTTCTCACTTTTTATTTAAAATATGTGGTGATTTTGTAAATTATCCTTAAGCATTTTATTTTCTCAGAATGAGAGGTAAATATCATTAAACATGCTTAGATATATCATTTTTATTTCTTGTGATGAGAAGCTTTTTCAAGGCTCAAGACATTAGGAAGAGAATTTTTACAATATAGGCTATACTTCTTGAACAAATTCACCAAACATTCAATCTAACAAAGTAGTCTCTCTTAGAAATATTATTCCACCATATCAAAAATCCTGACATAACCCTAGTTGAAATCATCTGTTCAATAAATTATTTCTACCTGAGGAGGATTAATGGAAAATGGTTAAAAATAATTTCCACTTAACTAAGTTTATTCACCCCTAAAAAAAAATCAAAAGTGCTGCAAGCATTGGTATAAAGTGTTCACAGGAGCTTGTCTCATTTCCTCTGTCTCCTTGTTCTAGGCACTTGCTGATACTCTGCTTCATAGGTAGCTGAATCATCCTTTTACGAGTTTGATAAAGATCAAGTTCAGATAATTGTAACATATTTAGTTGGACTCTCTAGTCTATCTTTCATTTCTAGATCCCCCCCAATAGAGGGGAAAGAAACCTTTTACTTAAGTCAGTTTTTTCTGAAATACTGTTAGTATAATGGACAGCAATTCGTTCTCTTTTTAAAATTTTGGTCACAATAGTTTAGCAAATGAGTGAGCTTTTATAGACCTATTTGGTCTGATTATAATATTTTCTATTTTTTATTTAGAAATAAACTTGCAATATTCATCACTTCCAAAGAACTATATGCTTAATAAAAGTCTTGAAAGTTAGTTTAAAACAAGTTTAAGGAATAACAAAATTTTCATTATTTTAGTAAAAGTATATAGTACTATAAAAGTTAATAAATGTTGTGGAATTATACCCATGGTTTCAGTCCCAAAATATAACAATCTTACATAAAATAATTCTATTTTAATGTCATAGACTCTGTCCTTAACCCCGATTTCTATAAATATACTCCTAATGACAAGAATAGATTGAGAAACCAGAAAATACAAATGATTCAGAGTAAATTTATCTCACTACTGTAAATAATATAATTTGGGTGGTATAGAAATGACTTCTCATTGCATGTAGAATAAAATGTTAATTCCCCACTATGGCCTTCAATGCCCTATGTGACCTGGCCACCTTCCTGCCTATTCCTCTGGTCTTATCTTCTGTTACTTTCTTTTTCCTTTACCACATGTGGCCTTACTGACTGTCATTCTAATCTGCCAGTATGTCAAATTTGTTCTCATCTCAGAAGTTATGCACTTACTGATCTTTCTATTTGAAACGCTCTTTCTCCACATCATCAGGCTTTCTCATTTTCATTGTCCTATTCTTAGACTCATATAGACAGTTCCTCAGAGAGTCCTTTCCAGATCATCCCAACAAAGTAGCCCCCTCTACCAAGTAATTCCATTACATACCCTATTTTATTTTGTTATAGTACTTATCATCTTCAAAGTGGCATATTAAAATAAATGCTATAACTGTAGATAATTCCGCTTTTATGCTTTACACTGTGTAATTATAGGGGGGGAAATTGCCTCGTACTTTGATATTATCCTTTTAATCATCAGTATTAAGTGTCCACTCTGTTAAAATATCATGTACTAGATAGATGCTGTGCCTATTGCATCAAGAAGCTTTTTTTTAAATATATTTTTATTGATTTCATAGAGAAAGGGAGAGAGAGAGATATGGAAAAATCAATGATGAAAGAGCATCATTGATCGGCTGCTTCCTGCACACCCTCTACTGGGGATCAAGTCCGAAACCGGAGCATGGGCCTTTGACTGGAATCGAACTCAGGACTCTTCAGTCTGCAGACTGATGCTCTATCCAGTGAGGCAAACTAACTAGTGCAAGAAGCTTTTCTTAGTTCCTAAAAAATAAACAGGAAGTGAATGTATGAAAACGTATGTGGCTCTAAGGATGTGTATGAAAGTATGTTTTTCACATGATTAAGTTGTATGTAATATTATATATTTTGCTACATACCAGTGTCCAGAAGATCAGAGAAAGCATGAGGGTGTGGGGCAATATTATTCAGTTTTAATTTCTGCATGTATACCCACTACTGCTGAATTAACTACCTAACATAATTATCTTCTTTGCATTCTTCAAGTTGTCATTATAGCTTAGTTTTCTTTGATACTTGCATTTGGGGGAGTATATTTAAAGCATTGTCTATATTATTCATAATCAATTTATTGCCTAGTTATTTTAGTCTGC